GAAACGTTTATCTATGTCCCCTTTTTGTCAATAAACAATGTTGTATATCATAAGTGTGGTAATCTTGTTTATAATCAAACCTCGTTTTCCTTCGAACACATCGATTGCTAAATCACACTTGTTCTCAAGATATATTCACCAACGCGTATTTATACATGAATACCCTTTTTAAATTCACCAGTAGTATCTAAATCTCCGTGGCAAATTATGACGTCTAATGCAGGTTGTCTTATTCTTAAAGTAGAAATTTAATGGAGATAGGCACTTAGCCCTATCAACATTGTGTATGATATAGCGATCTATTTCCAAAGGATTGAGTGTGCGACTTAAAGGAATTAAATCAAAATCGGCAGCTAAACTTATAGTGTTGATAAGAATTTTACAGCAATTATTCTTTTTTAAATAGCCAGGCCGCGATTTTTGTTAAGCTTTGGTGGGTAAAACAAAATACGCGGCCTAGCTAACCAACGAATGAATATTTGCTGTAAAATTCTTATCAGTGCTATAAGTGTAACTACCGTTTTGATCACCAGTTTTGATTCATTCCTTTAAGTTGCACACTCACTCGTTTTTTGGGGTCACCTTTTTTTCATACCTAAGGTGTTTTTGATTAGATATCATGACTTTTTTGTCCATAGCAAGTAAGAAAGTGACACTCGATAGTAACCCACGAGCTTTAGGATCACAACCCTATTAATTGGATCAGACCTTTACTTTACAGAACCAACCAGATTTTTTAAAATATAGTGCAGTAGTTTTTACTCTCTAAAACAGTGTTAATAGCTTCTTTTATAGTAACGCCATGGAAGTTAGATTAACAGTTTCTTGTCATCAACCTATGCAATCGGTACAGCTGTATCAAGCATCATTATTTATACTGATTGAGCTAATATCGCGTGGTGTTAAACGCTCTTTAATTAGTATAATGTCGTAAAATTGAGTAAATTCAAGATAAAAAGTTGGCGATGAATAATCAACAACAACTGTCCACCGGTATGATTCTTTTGAAAACTTGAGCTAGAAACTGCTAATTTATTTTGCGCGGCCTAACCAATATACCCATGTATCTGCATGTCCTTTCACCTTATAGTTTTGCTGCTCTAAATCACCCGTCTTTAATCCGAATGACAAAAAACGGCCCATTTTTACTCTTAGGTGAAGCTGTAGTAAAAATGATAGACCGATAGCTCACGTTACTTTTTGCGTAGGCGTGCGCGCAAACATTTTCGTCAATCTTGAGCGTTTTTTTGTTGA